TAATGTCTGAATATCAAAATTTATTATAATCTCCAAGTAATCCTGACAATGTCAGCTGGTTTCACATGAGTAGTAAAGAGCTAGATGCTTTTTTTTTTGGGGGGGGGGCTTTTGGGAGAAGATATGCGATAATGCATCAAATGGAGTAAGGAGTCAGATCTATTTTGCCTTGCACAGTGGCCACCTACCACATGTGATTACTGGGCACTTGACATTTGCCTAGTCTGAATCTGAAGTGTAATGCAGTATAAAATACACAGGGAGTTACCTCAAAACAGACTAAATTGTCTCATTAAGCATATCTATTGACTGCAAGGTGAAATGAAAATGTTTTGAATATATTAGGTTTTGGTTGAGTAACTTGCATGCATGAGGTCCTAGGTTTGATCCTCTAAGCATAGGAAACACTAAAAAAGAATGATTTAGGGGGCTGGAGAGATGGCTCAGTGGTTAAGAGCACTGTCTGCGGAGCTCCACAAGGAGAGCAATAGAACCAAAAAATATGGGCCCAGAGGTCTTTTCTGAGACTGATACTCCAACCAAGGACCATTCATGGAGGTAACCTTGAACCTCTGCTCAGATGTAGCCCATGGCAGCTCAGTGTCCAAGTGGGTTCGCTAGTAATGGGAACAAGGACTGTCTCTGACATGAACTCAGTGGCTGGCTCCTTGATCACCTCCCCGTGAGGGGGGAGCAGCCTTACCAGGCCACAGAGGAACACAATGCATCCAGTCCTGATGAGACCTGATAGGCTAGGGTCAGATGGAAGTGGAGGAGGATCTCCCTTAACAGTGTACTTGGAGAGGGGCATGGGAAGAGATGAGGGAGGGAGGGTGGGAATGGGAGGAAATGAAGGAGGGGGCTACAGCTGGAATTAAAAGTAAATAAACTGTAATTAATATAAAAATAAAATAAAATAAAAGAGGGAGAGAAAAAAGAGCACTGTCTGTTCTTCCAGAGGTCCTAAATTCAATTCCCAACAGCCACATGGTGGCTCTCAAACATCTACACTGGGATCTGATGCCCTCTTCTGGTGTGCTGGTGTACATGCAGATATAGCACTCATACATAAACTAAATTAATAAATCTTTAAAAAAAAAAGAAAAAGAAAACTGAGAAGCTTATGGACGTTATCTGAGTAGGGTCTCGGGGTCTTCTCCATGCATGGTTCGTTTTTGGAGAATTGGTCTCTGCAGGGACCCCTGGACCCAGAGTTTTTGGCTCTGTTGGTCTCCTTGTGGAGCTCCTGTCTTTCTATCTCCCCCTTATTCCATAAGGTTCTCTGCACTCTCTCCAAAGTTTGGCTATGAGTCTCAGCATATGTTTCAATACACTGATCAGTAGAGTCTTTCAGAGGCCCTTTTCGGTAGGCTCTTTTCCTGTTCCCTGTCTTCTCCTGCTTTCAATGTCTACCACGTGTGTACTTCTGAATGAGGATTGAACATCTTCCCTAGAGTCGTCACTGTTGTTTAGCTTTTAGGACTATAGATTTTTGTATGTTTATCCTATGTTATGTGGCTAATATCCACTTATAAGTGAGGATATACCATATGTCTTTCTGCTTCTGGGTTACCTCACTCAGGATGATCTTTTCTTGTTCCATCCATTTGCCTGCAAATTTCATCATTTCCTTGTTTTTAATTGCTTAATAGTATTCTATTGTGTAAATGTACCACAATTTCTGTAGTCATTCCTCCATTGGGGGACATGTAGGTTATTTCCAGATTCTGGCTGTTACGAATAAAGCTGCATTGAACATGGTTGACTAAATGTCCTTGTATGGTTGAACATCTTTCAGATATATACCCATGAGTGGTCTAGCTGCACCTGGAGGTAAATGAAGCCCATAGGCTCCTCATTTCCAGGTGGGTACCCTAGTAAGGGGATCATGGGCTGTCTCTGACATGAACTCAGTGACTGGTTATTTGATCACCTCTCCCTTGGGAGGTGCAGCCTTGCCAAGCCACAAAGAAAGATGATGCAGCCAGCCCTGATGAGCCCTGATAGGCTAGGGTCAGATAGCCTATTAGGAGGAAGTCAGACTTCTTCCTCCCCTATCAGTAGACTAGAGGATGGGCATAGGGGGAGAAGAGGGAGGATGGGTGGGACTGGGAAGAGACTAGGTGGGGGCTATAGCCAGATTACAAAATGAATAAAGTGCAATAAATAATATTAATTAATTAATTAATTAATTAAAAGAAAAATATTTAGAAATAACCATGAATCTAAGGAGATTGGTCACAATTTTGAAGGTGACACAATCTTAAATAATTTCTTTTTTCCTTTGAGCTAGTTTGGAAAGAACTCAAAGCTGATAGGAAGGATAAATAGAGAGGGGAGAGACTGACTCTTAGAAGCAGCAAGAGATATTTTGGCAGGGTCTAAACAAATGTCTACAAAGAATTTCCAATTTGTGTTAGAATTAGATCCCATGATTATTTCCCATTGAAAATCTTATATTTTAAGTAGATAATCACTTAAAAATAACTCAAAACAATGTGTATAGTCAAAAACTTGTCTTTATGGGAGAGACTAGATAATAGAAGGCAGTTTATAAGGAAAACGCCCAACTTTGTTAAGGATTAGATTTTTGTATATTATAGCATTAAAGAATGTTAAAACTGAAAGTCTGCAACCACAGTTCAAATATGTTAGTGTGCTGTATGTTTCTAATGTTTCTACAATTGCTAGTTTTTATTCACATGTAGAATTTTTAAAATGAGTAATTTGAAAGTAAAGGGCCTTTATTTTTTTTTTTCCTAGTTGATAACTAGATTAAGCGTTGGTAGTAATGGTTGAGAAGGAAAATACAGTCTTGTAGAAAAGCTAAGATAGGGATTTGTTCCAGGGACAGACCATAATTCTACAAGTTTTAGTGAATTGGATGTGAAACACAAAGCCAGGCCACAGCTTCACATATTCATGTCACCAAAGTGAGTCCAAACCTTCCAAGTTATAAGAGCTCTCCGCTACACTCTTCCAGTCCTCATTTGTCTGAAAGGGGGATTGCTCTGTTGATGTATAAGATGAAAGAGAATTCATATTTTAAAATTAAAACAAAATATTTTATGGGTATGAGTGTTTTGTCTACATGCATTTCTGCACACTATATCAGTGCCTGGTGTCAGTGGAGGTTATTGGCTCTCTTGGAACTGGATTTACAGATTTTTATTAAATCTTGGAGACTGAGTTTTTTTTGGAATTGAATCCCTATTATCCTATTATCTAGAAGAGCAGCTAGTGCTCTTAACTGCTGAGACATCTCTGCAGCCTCATAGAATTCACATTTTGGAATGCATTCAGGGGGGTTCTTATCTATGGAGTAATGAAGTTTCTGACATTAATAGACAGCTTGGACTCTGAAGTCAGTCTTGACTTGAAAGCTAAATTCTACCAGTTATGACAGAACTCTGCATAACTTTTATTACCACACTTTCATTAGTTGTTAGGAAGGGAAAATAAGTGAATCAAGCAATTGCAAGCCAAAAAGCTCTTGGCATCACAGTTGGTAAACGGTTAAGTACTCCACAATGTCCTCTATTATTATCATGTGTGCTACCTGAAGAAAATTTTAAGTGAAAAAAAAAATACCCCACAGATGTGAATGAGATGAGGAAGATTCTTTTGAAATAAATGAATTTAAAACATTCATTCATTCAATAGTCTCTTAGGACCATGTGCCTTGAAGTCACTGACTTAAACTTATGTAAACAATAAACTCTGTGATTGTGGAAACTGTGATGCGTTAAAAAAATAGGAGTAGCTCTTAATTTAGCTAATGGATTCACTCAGAAGTTTATGGTTTTCTCGTCCAGTGGCCCTGGGGACTGAGGTCCAAAGCTGGTGTTTAAGCTTTTCTGGATGATTGTGAGGTACAGATTAACTGGTATACTCTTCCATTATTTTCAGATTCCTTCGTTTTAACTTTTTATGGTTCCCTTTATGTTTCCAACTTGTTCCTAAATTTCTGTCTTCAGGCTTCAAGTACAGGGCATGTGCATAATTTTCCAACTCCTGTCTGACAGTCAGTAGTTGAGGTTTATTTCCTTCCCTCATCCTTGTTTTCCTTTTTGAGCCTAGCTTCAGTCTCTAAATTCTGCTCACCTCCTAGTCCTTATTTTTATATTTTTTATTTCTTAAATTCTCCCACTTAAAAAAAAAGATTATTTGTTCTTCTCTTATATATTAACATCCCAGCTGCAGTTTTCCTCTCTCCTCTCCATTTAGCTCCTCTCCTTCCGCCGTCCCCCTCCCCCCGCCGTTCTCCCACAGATTCAACCAAACATGGAATACCAAGTTACAGTAAGACAAGGCACAAACTCTCATATCAAGGCTGAACCAAGCAACCATGACAGGTGAAAAAGGACCCCAGAAGCAGTTAAAAGAAATCCTTCCAAGCCAGGCGAGGTAGTTCATGACTGCAATCCCAGGACACAGGGAGGCAAAAGCAAGCAGATCTCTGTGAGTTCCAGGCCAGCATGGTCTACAAAATGAGGATACACAGAGAAACCCTCTCTCATAAAAAAAAAAAAAAAAAAAAAAAAAAAAAAAAAAAAAAAAAAAAAAAAGCAAAGCAAAACAAAAACAAAAACACCAAAAGAATCCTATCACTTTTATCTTAAATCCTTTGCCCCACCTCCACCATGTCCACGTGGACGCCCCTCCCACCATCTCGCATTTTTAAGGCTAAGGGAAGCTTCTGCTCTCTCTGATAAGCTCCAGGTGGGTGGATGACAAGGCACCTCCTCTGCCGTTTCTGGTGAGGACATTAGCTGCAGAAGCTTCCACCTTCTCACGTCTTAGCCCCCTCTCCCGAAGGCTCCAGTCCCGAAGGCTCCCGACTTTTTTGTACTGCCTTCTGGACGCCGGCCTTCTGAACCTAATTGTTTCTTTCCATTCGCGCCTTCCTTTTCAGGTTAGAAGAGGGCGGAGTTAGGATGGCTGCACCACTGTTGCCTAGGCGACACCATGATTACTTCCGTTGGTCTCAATGTTTCCGGGTTATTGCTTCCTACTGTGCGAGCCTCCGCTTCCAGGGCGTCTGTTGCGCTTAAGCAGGTGAGGGAATGCTCCTGGACTTCCATGCTGGGGAGAGGGGTTGCACCTCCTTAGGCCGTACGGGGCCAGGCTGGCTTGGTTCCTGGCCTTGGAAAAGCTTAACGGTTCTTGATCTCTGAATCCTTTTTTCCTGTCTTTCATTCTTCCTGCTTCAGCGGCTTTACTTTTTTGATTGAGCCCTGCTTCCTCCGTGCACCCTAGAGGGCGCCGCACTTCTATGAACTCGCTCAGACAGCCAAGGAACTGCCAAGATCCTGCTACCCAGAGGGTGAATGGGTATCCTTCCCGGAATAATCCTAATCTTTCTAAAAGTGAAGTTTGCAACGGCGGCAGTCATAGTAAGTGGAGTAAGCAAATGCCTCCATTGCATCAGTGTGATGGATGCTGTTGAAAGACTCCCCCCATCACTTTCTATCGCCCTGTAACTTTTGAGGTCAATCACTAAAGGCATCTATTAAAATGCAGTTCAGTTACTTGATTGGGATCATAGCTATTATCAAACTGGATTTTGTTTCTCAGACATTTATAGTTTCCTACCAGTGTTTCCTTGCCCAAACCCTAGAGATGCTCAGAGTAGACTTCAACTCTTTTCTGTTCTTCATTTATATCACGAAGCCTCTTTTGTCTCCATTTCAACAGTTTAACCTCATTGCCAAAGAGTGTTTTTTTCTGCCTACCTCACACCCTCCTAAGCTATTTCCCTACCTCTTCTGTTTGCAATCCATGGTGCTTGTAGTCCCTAGTAGCTAATTAAAATAAGCTATTACCTTAATTCACTTGTCTATTAATAGAACTAGTCTTCCTCTAACACCTTGTTTCAAGCCTTTCAGTATAACCTTCTCCTTTCCCTTGTTTCAGCCAACAAGTGTATTGCGTATTCCGTTTGTGTCTTCGTTTCTCAGTACAAACCATATTGACAAACCGTTTGGAAACATGATTGTGCTTGCACCTTTGTCTTTATGAATCCTGTTCACTACTCCCAGATGTCTTCCTTCTCTGCTCCTAAGTCTGCTCTGTCAAAACCCAGTATAAGTTAGCTCACTTCCAATAGCTTTTACAAATTATTCACACACATGCTGGTTGTTTCTTTTCCATGCTCCTCTTACTCTTAAAGATTGCTATACAGTTTAACAGTTAAATTTTCTCTAACAAAATATTTAATTTCATCTACCAGATGATTGTCGAGGAAAGATAGGTGGAATGGTGAATACTGTCTATGTTAGAATAAATTTCTGTGAAATTTTTTGCTTGTTTTTTTGAGACATGGTTTCACTATATAGATCAGCTGGCCTCAGACTCAGAGATGCACCCGCTTTTGCCTCTCAGGGTGCTGGGTTTAAAGGCATGTGCCACCACACTCAGCTGTGATTTTTAGAAACATGACCGATTATCTTCATAGCATATTGCAGGTTTGAGTATTTAGTGTAAAAGGAACTTTTATTCTCCTGAGGTAATTGTTGGCTCTGAGGCTTACTGCCTCCATCTGCTAACCTAGGCCTAGTCCTTGAAGCTTCTAGCCTCCGTACAATCTAACCTAGGTCTAGAATGTTTTCAGCCTCTGAGATCCCCTACTTAACAAACTCGCCCTTTCTTGTTCTTACTGAGCTCTCGGCTCACTGGTTTAATTTAGCTGTTCTGGCTCATACTCCTCTTCCAGCTGACTTATTCAATCTGGCTTCTCTCTCAGCCCCAGAATTGCTCTGCTTGGCTTCAAACTATCTCCAGCATTGTGTTCTAATCTTCAATCTTCTTCTTATTCTCTGGCTTGTTCCATCTTCAACCTCTCTCTGTAAAACTCTCCTGGTAAAACTGCTTCCGAATTCCACAAGCTGAACTGCCACGAACTCAACTGCAATGCACTGCCTCTCAACTCAATGACTCAACCAAAGCTACCAGGTAAAGACAGAACAAGCCATAGAATGAGAAGGAGCCAGGAGATTAGAAAAGTTGCTTGGGTTAGTTTAAGGTCAAGCAAAGCAATTCAGAGGCTGAGAGAAAAGCCAGATTGAATAAGTCAGCTGGCAAAGGGGTTTAAGCCAGAAAAGCTGAGTTGAACCAGCCAGTCAAGAGTTCAGAAAGAACTAGAAAGGGTGAGCTTATTAAGCAGTAAGTCTCAGAGGTGGAAAACATTCTATACATTAGATTGTATGGTGGCTAGAAGCTACTCCTAACCTAGAGGCTTAGGTTAGCAGTTGGAGGCAGTAAGCCTTCTAGACAACAACTAAAACAGGGGAATAAAAGTTCCTTTTATAATTTAATATGTCTTTAACATATTTTTAGGTTCCCTATTGCTATCCTCTGAACATGAGAATCTCTCATACCTAGTCTTTCTTAAAAGAGAAACCAAGAAGGTTGGCCAGAATTTCCTGATTAGATTTTGAAGTAAGTGTGGAGGCTATTAGGATATTGTTATGCTATCAAGATTTCCATGATCAGAATCCATCTTATGAATAGAGGTGCAAATAATGAAGGCAGATTTCACTTGCTTCCTTATATAATAAAAATATTTAGAGTACTGTATTTATATTGCTAATTAGATATGACTTCTGTTCTTTCATCTAAAACTGAGGTTAGCCTCCACAAGTCAAAACAACTTTATGAGAAGTTTGTATGCTTTACAAAGCAATTCTCTGCAACAAAAACAAGAGGTGAGGGTTTATAGGTAGAGAGTCTGGACATTGGGAGAGTATTGTATAGGGTATATAGTATTGTCCAAGTTCAGCAAATGGCTTTTTTGGCTTCTTTTGTAATTACAGGTAATATACAGGTTGCATACATAAGGCAGCTATTTGATGTGTTTGCAATCATTCTATACTAGCTGCTATGAGGTTATGAAAAGTTTTGTGGCTGGGTGTCATGACACATGCCTTAAATCCCAGCATTCAGGAAGGCAGACTCAGGAAGATCACTGTGAGTTGGAGGCCAGCCTGGTCCACAAAGGGAGTCCAAGACAGCCAAGGCTACACACAAAAAATCTGTCTCAAAGAAAAAGGAAAAAAAAAAAAAGGTTTGTGAAGTATGATATCTTTTTTTTTTTTTTTTTTTTTTTTTTAGGGAATTTTAGCTATTTAAGAGGTGAAGAGGCAGGACAACAAGAAAATAAACTCACCCTACTCATTATTTTATGCCTGATTTTAAGATGTTGAAGAAAAGTGATTTCTCAAAAAAAAATATGCAGATCTGTAAAATAGGTGGGGTTATAACTTACATACATAGATATAGCCTTATGTAAAAGCTGGTATTTGCTGGAATTTTAATGTTTCAGTTGTGTGATATGCCTCTCAAAAGAAACAGAAGTTTTCAGCTACAGTAACTGAATTAAAACATAGAATGAAGAAAATGATTGAGACTATTTAGCATGAGAAAGAGAAAATGTAGAGACATGAAAACTGACTAAACAGTTTCGGCTTCTTTGGGGGTGGGGGATACATTTGCTCAGTCTGCCTCCAAATTGTTCTAGTGTGAAGAAAGGCAGTATAAATTCTAACCAAAGGTGAAATACAGAATTTCTTTTATGACTTTCATTTCTAACATTGGAGTGAAAGATTTGACCATCTGATGTGACCAGGGAGGGTAGTATAAGAGACAGTGTGGTATTGGTCAGTCATCTTATAGGCTTGTACAATTTTATGGGTTAATGAAATTTAAATGAAAATATAGTGGAAAGATTAGAGATAAAGATCATCATGCTTATTTTACCAAATAAAGACACTAAATGTTATCAAAAAGCAACTACAGTTAATCATTTTATATAAGAAAGGTGATTTGTCAGTGCTCCAGAGATAATGACTTAATGGCTATTTAAATGACATACTTTTAGCTGAAAAAAAAAAAGGTGGCCCTAGATTTTTTTTTTTTCCTATCAACTCTGAATTGTGAACATTTCATGGGGGAACCCCTGGACTACCTGACCTAAAATCCAATGGCTAATATTTCTGCTTCCTAGTGTGACTCTATCCCCAACTTTCAGTAAGTCATTATTGCTTCTGCACACTAAACACATTTTCCTTATTACAAGACTGAGTAAGGGGCTGGAGAGATGGTCTGCTGTTAAGAGTATTAGCTGCAGCCAGTGAGGTGGCACATGCCTATCATCCCAGCACTCAGGGAGACAGAGGCAGGTGCATTTCTGAGTTTGGGGCTAGCCTGGTGCACAAAGCAAGTCCAGGACAGCCAAGGCTACACAGAGAAAACCCTGTCTTGGAACAAACAAACAAACAAAAAGAGTATTAGCTACTCTTATCCTGGTTCAAGTCCCAGTACCCACATAGCGGCTCACAATCTTTTGTAACCAGTTCCAGGGGATTAAACACTCTCTTTTGGCTTCTGTGGCCACCAGGCATACATGTGGTACAGAGACATACATGCAGACACTCATACACATGAAATAAAAATAATGACAAAATACTAAATGTTTTTAAAACATTGGGTACCAACTGAAGTTGGTAGAGGTTTGTTTTTGAGTTTTATTTTCTCTTCTGTACTGAGAAAGTATGCATGAAGTTGTAAAGGGAAAGTTTGGAACAGAAGCACAGCAGACATCTGAAATATCACCTGAATCTTTTAATTTGACACCAGAGAGTAATTTTTTCCATTTTTTCTTTTTGTGCATTCTTTTGGAGAACAGGATCTTATGTAGACCAGGCTGGTCTCAGATTTCCTATGTAGCAAAGGGTGACTTTGAATTACTGATTCTTGTTTGCTTCCCAAGTGCTGTAATTACGGGCATGTGCCTTTATGTCTGGTTTAAAATTTATTTTTTCTTATAAACTTGGGAGGTATGTCATAGTCCTATTTTTTCTATCAATTTCTGCTTTGCTTTTTAGAGTTTTAATGAACTTACTTTCTATAGGGTTATCTCTCATGTATGCAATATGTACTGTATTTAGAAGGGAGTTTCCACAATTATTTTTGTAGTGTGTAACTAAGACATTTATCTGCATTCTTTCTAGCCTCTCTGGAAAATTGCTCTTTGCTTTGTTTCAGACAATTTGTTTTGTGAAAATAAATCAAAACCCTGTTTAAGATCAGACTGGCTCCTAGGTACTAACCCAAACTGGCAAGGGGAACATGGACAGCAAATACTATCTACTAAGGTATAAAATCAGCCATGTAGTAATGATAATTAACTAACTTACTGAGCCATGTTTCCCAGATTTTGGTAGGTGTTAAATATGTATTATTTATATATAACACAACAACCCTATGACATGAATTTTTATTTTATCATTTTCAGAAAATGGAGGCAGAGAAAGACTGAATAACTTTCCCAGAGCCACAACTAGTAAGTGCGAGTCAAGATCTGAATTGACTTTAGAGGATATGATTTCAGAGTGTTCCTTTTTGACTCTAAACACTTTTGAACTCGGGAAGTATACATACTCTGAATCCCTGAAAAAGAAATATTTCAAGAAAATATGAGAGTCTGTTAATAAAAAGTAGTATTTCGAAGTGGAACAGGATTTAGCAGGTGATGCCTGCAATAGTAGTTTTTAAGGGGAGAGGCATCGGTATTCTTTGAGAATGTACAGATTCTCAGGTCAATCAGAAACTCTTGGAGAGGATCAGCCATCCATGTTTTTAATATACCGTTTAGATAACTCTGGTACAAGTTACAGTTTGACAGATATTTGCCTAGATGCTAGAGTTGTGGAAAAACAAATCCAAAAGTAAAGGAGAGGAAAGTAGCAGAAAAAGAATAAAACTGAAGTAACCCCTGGCCCTGAAACAGATATTTATGAACCAGGCTAACCTCAGACTAGGAGATCTGCCTTCTGATTGTTGGGATTAAAGGCATGCCCCACCACTGCCCTGCAAAACTGAGGATTTTTAAGATAACAGATCTAAGACAAATTTGATGGGGAAGAAGTAAAAAGGGTGTGGGAGTAGAAATACATAATTAAAGAATTAGAACATAGAATAATAGTACTTGGATATGTTTTTAAGGTTGAGGGGTAAGGAAGAAGAGATCACTGGATGGGTGATGTTCAATGTCAGAAGTGTGATATAGCCACATTGCTGTCATTTCTCTAGGAACCAGACATAAGGTGAATTGCTGATTAGCTTGCTCTGGGTCTCACGGTGTAGCTGGTTTGGTATAGAGCCAGTTTATTTCCTAGAATTGATATGCTAAATTTCAGTGGAAAGCTGAGAGGACTGAGGACATTAGGAGGTAATGTTGGGAGATTGTGCTTCCTGCCTGAATCAAGATAAGTGAATACCATGAACTGCTTTTATAAGATGCCTTAGCCTAGGTAACTTGAGTTACAGTTTCTTTGACACATGATTGTCTAGTTAAATGTCAATGATGGGTATACTGGATGGGCTGAAGTGTCTTTGGGTGGGAAAGACTGTAAAATTAGAATGAAGGGCATACATTGATTTTTGGAGTGATTGTACACCCACCCTCCAGAATGACATTAAAGAACGAACTCATGATCATCCAGCACATGAAATAGGACTCTCCATTTTTTTCTCATTCCACTTAGTGGTTTCTATTTCCCCTCCCCCCTTTTTTTTATTTACCAGTTTTGTTGATGGAAATCATATACTCAAGTGTTAATAAATGTTCTCTTCTTTCTTGTGCCCTGTTCTGAGTTGTATTTTTTTTTTTTTAAGCATCAGAAAATTTCTGCTTTAAGCCGTGAGATGTCTGAAAAACTTTTGTGCATGGCGGCCTTGCCTCTATTGTTGCCGAGTAAGCATCAGAATAAAAAAGGACAAAGCAAAGTTTTATGCTGCAAATGGTTATGTATGGTACCAGTTATTTTTGGAGAAAACCAGAGGAAAAAAGTATTCTATTCTTTGTTTTAAAAATTATTGTTGCATAGGCATTAAGTAATATTCCTGAGAAGGTAATGGAGAATGAGGCTAAAAAGTCATATTTTAAACTTTTTCTCATGGCTTAGTGATTTGTTAAATTTTTTATTCTTTATTAATTACATTTTATTCACTTTGTATCTCCACTGTGGTTCCCTCCCTCCTCCCGTCCCAATCCCTTCCTTCCTCCACCCTCTGCATGCATGCCCCTCCCCAAGTCCACTGATAGGGGAGGTCTTCTTTTCCTTCCTTCTGATCCTAGTCAATTAGATCTCATCAGGAGTGGCTGCATTGTCTTCTTCTGTGGCCTGGTAATGCTGCTTCCCCCTCAGAGGAAGGTAATTAAAGAGCAGGCCAATCAGTTCATGTCAGAGACAGTCCCTGCTCCTATTACAATGGAACCCACTTGGATAGTGAACTGCCATGGGCTACATCTGTGCAGGAATCTTAGGTTATCTCCATGCATATCCTTGGTTGGAGTATCAGTCTCAGGAAAGACCCCTGTGCTCAGATTTTTTGGTTCTGTTGTTCTCCTTGTAGAGTTCCTGTCCTCTCCAGATCTTATTGTTTCCTACTTCTTTCCTGAGATTCTCTACACTCTGCCCAAAGGTTGCCCATAAGTCTCAGCATCTGCATTGATAGTCTTCAGGGCAGAAGCTTTCAGAGGTCCTCTGTGTCAGGCTCCTGACTTGTTCCCTCTTTTCTCCTTCTTCTGATATCCATCCTCTTTTCCTTTCTGGATAGGAATTGAGCATTTTAGCAAGAGTCCTCCCTCTTGATTAGTTTCTTTAGGTGTACAGATTGTAGTAGGTTTATCCTATATTATATGTCTCTATGAGTGAGTATATACCGTGTGCATCTTTCTGCTTCTGAGATAGCTCATCCAGGATAATCTTTTCCAGATCCCACCATGTACCTGCAAATTTCATGATTTCCTTGATTTTTATTGCTGAGTAATATTCCATTGTGTAGATATACCACAATTTCTGCATCCATTCCTCCACTGAGGGGCATATGGGCTGTTTCCAGCTTCTGGCTATTACAAGTAAGACTGCGACAAACATGGTTGAGCAAATGTCCTTATGTGTACTTGAGACTCTTTAAGGTATATGCCTAGGAGTGGTATAGCTGGATCTTGAGGAAGCACCAGATTCCTTTCCAGAGTGGTTGTACAAGTTTACATTCCCACCAGCAGTGGAGGAGGGTTCTCCTTTCTCCACAACCTCTCCAGCATGTGTTGTCTCTTGAGTTTTTTATCTTAGCCATTTTGATGGGTGTAAGGTGAAATCTTAGGGTCCTTTTGATTTGCATTTCCCTGATGGCTAATGAGGTTGAGCATTTCTTTAAGTGTTTCTCTGCCATTTGATATTCCTCTGCAGAGAATTCTCTGTTTAGCTCTGTACCCCATTTTTTAATTGGATTACTTGATTTTTTTGCTGTTTAATTCTTTAGTTCTTTATATATATTGGATATTAGTCCTCTGTCAAATATAGGGTTGGTGAAGATCCTTTCCCAATCTGTAGGCTGTCTGTTTTGTTCTGAGGAAAGTGTCCTTTGCTTTACAGAAGCTTTTCAGTTTCATGAGGTCCCATTTATTGATTGTTGCTCTTAGAGCCTGTGCTGTTGGTGTTCTGTTCAGGAAGTTGTTTCCTGTGCCAATGAGTTCAAGGCTCTTCCACAATTTTTCTTCTACGCGGTTTAGTGTGTCTGGTTTTATGTTGAGATCTTTGATCCACTTGGACTTTAATTTTGTTCAGGGTGATAAGTATGGATCTATTTTCATTTTTCTTCATGTAGACATCCAGTTAGACCAGCACCATTTGTTGAAGATGCTGTCTTTTTTCCATTGAATGGATTTGGCATCTTTGTCAAAAATTTGTAGATTTATGTCAGGGTCTTCTATTCGATTCCATTGATCCACCAGTCTGTTTCTATGCCAGTACCATGCAGTTTTTAATATTGTTACTCTATAGTACAGCTTGAGATCAGGGATGGAGATACCTCCTGAAGATCCTTTACTGTAGAGAATTGTTTTTGCAATTCTGGGTTTCTTGTTGTTCCATATGAAGGTGAGAATTTTTCTTTCAAGGTCTGTAAAGAATTGTGTTGGTAATTTGATGGGAATTGTGTTGAATATGTAGATTGCTTTTGGTAAGATGGCCATTTTCACTATATTAATCCTGCCAAGCCATGAACGTGGGAGATCTTTCCATCTTCTGATATCTTCTTCTAATTCTCCAGAGACTGGAAATTTTTTTTTCATACAAGTCTTTGACTTGCTTGGTTAGGTTCACACCAAGGTACTTTATGTCCTTTGTTGGTATTATGAAGGGTGTTGTTTCCCTAATTTCTTTCTCAGCCCTTTTGTCTTTTGTATACAGGAGGGCTACTGATTTTTTTGAGTTAATTTTGTATCCAGCCACTTTGCTGAATGTATTAATCAGCTGTAGAAGTTCCCTGGTAGAATTTTTGGGGTCACTCATATATACTCTATATCATCTGCAAATAGTGATACTTTGACTTCTTCCTTTCCAATTTGTATCCCTTGATCTCCTTCAGTTGTCTTATTGCTCTAGCAAGGACTTCAAGAACAGTGTTGGGACTGATTTAAGTTTCTCTCCATTGAGTTTGATATTGGCTATAGGCTTGTTGTATATTGCCTTTACATGTTTAGGTATATGCCATATATCCCTGATCTCTCCAAGACTTTAAACATGAATGGATGTTGGATTTTTTCGAATGCCTTTTCAGCATCTAAGGAGATGATCATGTGTTTTTTCTCCTTTAGTTTGTTTATGTGGTGGATCACATTGATGGATTTCCATATATTGAACCACCCTGCATGCCTGGGATGAAGCCTACTTGGTCATAGTGAATGATATCTTTGATGTGTTCTTGGATTCGGTTTGCAATTATTTTATTGAGTATTTTTGCATCAATGATCATGAGGTAGATTGGCCTGAAATTCTCTTTCTTTGTTGGGACTTTGTGAGGTTTAGGTACCACAATGAATGTGGCTTCATAGAATGAGTTTGGTAATGTTCCTTCTGTTTCTATTTTGTGGAATAGTTTGAAGAGTATTGATGTTAGCTCTTCTTTGAAAGTCTGGTACAATTCTGTGCTGAAACCATCTGGCCCTGGGCTTTTTTTTGCATGGTAGACTTTTGATGACAGCTTCTATTTCCTTAGGGGATATAGGAGTATTTAATTGGTTTACCTGGTCTTTATTTATTTTTGGCATGAAGAATTGGTCAAGAAAATTGTCCATTTCATTTAGATTTTCAAATTTTGTGGCATATAGACTTTGGAAGTAAGACCTTATTATTGTTTGGATTTCTTCAGTGTCTGTGGTTATGTACCCCTTTTCGTTTCTGATTTTGTTGATTTGGATAGTTTCTATCAGCCTTTTAGTTAGTTTGGCTAAGGGTTTGTCTATCTTGTTGATTTTCTCAAAGAACCATCTTT